AGGCCCCAGAGAGCCGAAACAACCGGAATTGGACATGAAGAAGCAAGTTTAAATAGTTCCTCTCTCCATTCCTCCATTCCAACATTAGAAGAAATGGGGCCTCAAGAGCTCACTCAATAAATTCTGCTATAAAAATAAATCTTTATCTTTCTCTGCCCTCACTTTACATCTATACCAGCATAGATGTAAATAAAGGTCTCTCTTGGTATGAATTTCCTAGACTGAAGCAGTGTTAAGCCTAGAGGAAGAGATGAATCAGGCTCCCGGAAGGAGTTTTTCAAACTATACCTCCCTCCCCCCATATCCTAACTCCATCCCATTATTTTTGAGAGCATATGAAAGATCTGGAAGAATGAAAAGCTATTGAGAATTAGGGAGATGGAGATATAAGTTTAAAACAGAGGTAGTGACTACTTGCTATTAGAAGATAAGAACAAGGCCAGATGACTGACTGGTTTAGTGTAGGTACTAGTTGAACAAATTCTGTGATAACAGAGTAACATGAAGGTTCAGGGAAGGGAGAATCTCTGGGAGGAAAATGAGAAGAAATGGTAACTACATAAAAAGATAAATCTATGAACTGCAGATCATCCTTTCTTTTCTATATACAAGAAATTGCCAATGAATGTATGGGTAACATTTGAAGGGATTTGGTACATAGGCAGAAATGTTTAAATTAATAAATGGTGTCATTTTGAATGTACGGCAAGTGTTGCTCGTCAGTCTCATAATGGTCCTCATGTTTAACATGATGTTCCCTTCACTGTTAACTACATTAGTAAGTATAAAAGATGGAAGAATTGACAGGTCTGAACTTTTGAGTCTTTAACTAAGCCTTGCCCGCAGTACCTAAGGAGATTTGCATACCTTCTATGTATTCTTTCCTCCATTGTCCTCTTTCTCCAAGTAGGGACCTAGGGACTCAAAACACACACACACACACACACACACACACACACACACACACACACTCATCTCCCTCAAGTAGAGACCAGATATCTTAGGCTGAGAGCTGATGGTGAAGGCCATGGGATCATTGCAATTCTTTTTTACTTCTAGCTTTATTGATAGACATATATTACAAGATGATTACCACAGCAAGGTTAGTTAACACCTCAATTGATTCATATAATTATCATTTCTTTTTTGTGGTGAGAACATTTAAGATATACTCTCTTAGCCACTTCCAAGTATATAATATAATATTGTTAACTACAGTCACTATGCTGAATATTAGATCCTCAGAATTATTCATCTTATAACTGAAAGTTTGTACCCTTTTAACCAACATCTTCCTACTTCCCCCACCCACCATTCAAACTCATAGATACAAAAAACAATGGTGGCAATCCTTTTTTCCTACAACTTAAATTTAGGTTTCCAAATGTCTGTTCAAGAGGGATATAAGGATATAAAGTAGTTATGCCATAGTTTTGCTCCTTATACTTTCAAGTTAACAAAATTGAGCTTAATTCTAATGCATTAAATGCATACTTTTCTTTAGAAGCAGGTAAAAATACCATGTCCTCTCAAGCTATAACTTAGGTGATCTTTAAAGAGAGCATTGAATTCTTCTTCTTGAATCATCCTGACTAATAGAAATTTAAGTAGTAACTGGTGGGAGAACACTGAAGCACTCACGCATGTGAAATCAAATGAACATCCATAATGTGGAATTTCCTAAGGAAAGTTATTCTAGCAGAGAAACACAGGCGCAGGTTGAGTACCAATAATTTTTAAACTAACATGTGGAGCTATCATTCTAATAAGGAAAAGTTGCCTGAAGAAAGCAAGACTAACATTTTCAAATCCATATTTTCAAACATTTTAAAAACACCAGAGTTATTTACAGTTATTTACAGTTCCTTTCCTCTGTTGAAGGGAATTTAATCTTTCTTAATTTGATACCCTATATTAATGCTTACTCTTGAAAGGCACACGTATAACTTATTTAAGTAAATTTTAAGTAGATAAATCTTATTTTAACTTTAATAAATATTATTTATTTATTAAGATTTAACTTATAATTTGTTAATGTTTTAGCATTCATTTATTGTGATTTAATATGTCTTATTTAAGTAAATAGCCAAATAGAACAACTAATACATCTATTAAAAGGAACTGAAATCAAGAGCTCTCATATCTATTAGCAATTTCCATTTCTATTCTGTGATTATAATACTAGTCTTCCCAAAATATTTCTTTTTAAATGATCTACTTAAAACCACATAAATTTTCCACTTGTCATACAATTCTAGGTTGAAATGTGACTTTAGCTTTAGCATCAACTCCTTAAGATTCTAAAACCTGTGTCATCAGTTCAATTACCTTTCAAAATTGACTAAAATTTGTGAAATATTAGCGTTTCAAATACACAAATTCTAAATGTGTATAATGGATATACATAAGTATATATATATGTATAACAAATCATATAATATGTAGGCATATTTACCCCTTAAGGCATTCTAAAATGTAGAGGTAAAGCTGAATCTTTGCCATCACACTTATTTTACAACAGTTTTCCCATCGTATAGAGAATTTGGAATGGCCACTGGGTTCTCAGTGTCCTCATTTACATAATGTGGTTAATGATGATATCTACCTCATGTTATTGTTGAAAAGAGTAATTAAAGGTTGCTTGATAATAGTAAGTGTTTGAAAAATGATAACTGGTATACTACTGTTATTGTCATTTTTATTATTGTATTGTTCAGCAATTTTTAAAAGTTAGACAATTCGAAAAATGCTCCTCCTATTGGATACCTGGCTCATGCTCATTCATCATGTATATTTTGAAATTTAGTCAGAGCTGTGATAAGTTATAGCCTCTCCTTCAGTGATTTTTAAGCTAGACTGCTATAATATTTTATTTTATTAACATCCCTGAAAAAATTCAACGAGACTTCACACTGCAAAATGTTACAAGTTGAATGTTACTTTCCAGGAAGATGACTCAATATATTTTACCCTAGTTGAGAGACAATATTCTGAGCTCCCTGTTGTAAAAGGATTTAAAAACCCTTGAGCATATGGTGTTTGTATGGCTTTTGTTACCATAGCCTACCATTGTTGGGGTACCTAGTCATCTATTTTCAACTGATGTGTCATATAAAAGAAAAAAAAAAGAAATTGCATTTAAATTCTATGCAGAGAAATGTGGCTTTAGTCATTGTGTGTCTTAATTAGGAAATATTCTCCTGCAGTAAAGAATAAACTATGGGCTTATGCCTGGAGATCATTTTAAAGTTCTATAACTCATGATTACGATTCATGTTCATTTGTTTTCTTTTAAGTTGTAATCAATTTCCAATGTGCTAGTTTCACTGCTCAGAAGATGAATAACTTTATGAATTTAGGGCAGTTTTTGTTATAAGTAGTTATTTTCCATTCTGAACAGTGGGGAAAAAAAAGAGGGTATTTTTCCTGAATGGCTTTTAAAATGATTTCTCTTTGGAAATATCTTTGAAAATGACCATATTGGAAGCTTTAGCCATTTGGTTATAATAACACTGATGAGGAACAGATTGAGCAGGTACTTCAATGAAAAGTCCACTTGGGAAACAAACAAACAAAATCTCAGTTCTATCTTGATTATGTACTTGTGTTACACTCCATGACCATTCATCAGTTTAGGCTGGTTGTATACACTTGAAAAAGAGGTTTAAAAATTATTTTAAAGCTCTCTGAAACACCACACAACAGTGTTGCCTCCAGTCGAATCTCTTTCTTCCATATCAGAATCAATATTTCATTCCTTTCTTAAATCAAGACAGTGAAGAAAACTATAGGCTGTGTACAGAATTAGGCAGTTGGAAGGATTCTAGCCCATCTCTTGCTTCTAGTGCATTTTTTTTCTTTTCTTCCTTTATTTACCTTTGCCTTTACCAAAATCCTCAAGCTCTTGTCATACATAAAGGAAAAAAAAAAAGACCCTGTAAAATGTTATTATTGTGTCCTAGTTGAAGTTATGTTTTCCATTTGGAGGAAATCAGTCCATTCAGCCTGAAATATTTAAAAGAGAGCACCTTTACAGTATTCGAGTTCTTATTGGTAAAATCGGAAAGATCCAAAGCCCTTTGGTGTGTTTAACATTATTAGCACATTAAATTTAATCATAAAAAATTAAATAAAAATATATATCAATAAAAAGTAAAATTTCAAGTATTTGTTTCAAATCAGTGGCTTACTAAAAATTGTAAACACTTTGCTGGTGTTACAAAAACTGAGGCCCTTACTGATACCTATAAATATTTTATGGACAAGGAATGTGAAATTTTAAACAAGCTTGACAGCTATTTTTCATTGTTTATGCTGAACCACCTTTGAATGGATACTTGTGAAAGACATTCATTCACTCACTCACTCACTCACTCACTCACTCATTCACTCACTCACTCACTCATTTATATACCAAACATCTCAGGGAACACATTTTATGCCAGATGTGATGTTAGAATACACACAGTTAAAGACACAATCTGTGTCTTAGAGAAAGAAAGGTCAGATTATCTCTCTACCCTACTCAGTGACATTCAGTATCTACAGTCTACAGTGAAATCACGAGTTAAGGAGACAACAGCCCATACCGCAAAGGATAATAAAAAATAATGATCTGGACTCTGAAAAAGTCATCACCTTTCAATTGACCAGAGGCAGATGTCTTCAAATTATCCACTTTATTAAGGAATACAAGTTAGTATAAAACAAAACAAAAACAAAAAATCTGTTACTAGGAAACCCAATAGAATCATGGGAATGGGATAGGGCGTGCACGTGTAAGGGACAGGGAACCACTTTGGAACACCCTCTCTAACTGCCCGCGGGAAAGGATTTTTTGGCTACTTACTAGGCTTATCCCTGTCCCTCAGGTGGGAGAGAAGAAAGGAGCTCTTGTTTTCCCCCAACTTACTCGAACCTTCCCCTGAAGCTCAGCCTCCTTTCTATGCAGCCAGTGAAAGCGAAAAGTTTTAACGGAGCAGCCCTGAATCTCCTCTTACCTCTGCAATTGTGGCTCAGCCCGGAGGGGACAGGGTGAAGCTCTGGACTCCTCCCAGTTGCAGCATCTGCCCACTCTGGGGTCCAAACGTCCCAATCTGAGGCCACGGTGGTCTGTGAGCTCGCAGGGCACCCAGGTTTGAAACGTCACAGTCCACGAAGCTCCGCCCCGCCCCTTCGCGCACGGCCCCGCCCACAAGCCTGCCGCCACTGCCCCTCTACCCCCAACCGTGACTTGTGACTAGTCTTTGCGGTGGCACCTGATTTTTCTTAAATCGTAAAAAAAAGTTTGTATATCTATCTCTATCTACCTCTATATAGATATCTATATATCTATATCTATATATTTCTGATTCTAAAAGTAATCTGATCGTTAAGAATAATTTGGAAAATACAAAAAGATGTACATGAAATAAAAATTGCCTGATGTATATCTTCGCAGTCTCTTTACTATGAATAGATTAAAAAATAAATCTTGCCTCTTCTCAACCACACAAATACACAGATCTGATATACATAAATACACTTTATAAAGTTTTATACATCTCTTTTTTAAAGAAAAGTATTTTTTAAACTTTTAACTAAAATACACATATGTAGCAGTTAAAATACTGTTTGTATATATTAAGAACATTCATGTCTCTTCTATACATTTTAGGAAGTAGAATATTATCAGTACATTTGAAGAAATGTACCTCGAAGGATTGCACTGTTCTAACTACTGTTATGAATTGTATGACAATCACTTGCTTTTCTTTATAGTTTAACAAATCATATATGTATCACTTTTATTGAAATAATGCACACATGCAGAAAAATAAATTAAGCTGCGAAAACAAGTTTAAAGAATTATCACAAAGTGAACCCAGCAGGGTCACCACTATCCAAATAAAAAAAGTAAAATATTCCTAACATCCCAGAAAGCTCCTCCTAATCAGTACCCTTTATCTAGTTTCCAAAAGTAATGACTATTGGCTTCTAACAGCATAGTTTAGTTTTATCTATTTTTGAAGTTCATAAAAATAGTCCAGTCATGATTTTACTGCTCTATATTGCTCTATCTTTTACAAAGTATCGTCAATGTGCTGACTATTTAAATTGGAAGTCTACTCTGCCTAATTCACTTAACACTATATATAGGGTGCAATTTGTGTGCCATATAAAATTCTGCTAAAAATTATTTCATTTCTGCATATTCTATTGGATGGATATACCATCATTTTGTTGGATGTATAAGTTCCTTTTAAAATTTTTAATTAATTAATTATTTTGGGGGGGCATTTTTTCCCAAGTGTAAGTACTTTAATGCATATCTTTTCGTGTACATCTCTGGGTTATTTCTTTAGGATTCTTCCTATAAATGGAATTTTTAAGTCAAAGAGCACTGACTTTTTTTTTTTTCAATTACAGTGGCATATAATATTATATTAGTCTCAGGTATACAACACAGTGATTAGACTTTTATATACATTATGAAGTGAACACCCCTATGAATCCATTACCCATCTGATACTATACATGGTTATTACAATATTACTGACCGTATTCTCTATGCTATGCTCTACATCCCTATGACTATTTTGTAACTACTGATTTGTCCCTCTTTATCTCCTACCCTCTTCATCCATTTCTCCACAACCCCCTCCAAAAGGCAACCATCAAAATGCTCTCTGTATCTATGAGCTTGTTTCTGTTTTGTTTCGCTTGTTCTCTAGATTCCACATATAAGTGAAATTATAAGGCATATGTCTTTCTCTAACTTACTCCACTTAGTACAATACCCTCTTGGTCTATCCATGCTGTTGCAGAAGGCAAGATTTCATTCTTTTTTTTTTATGTCTGTGTAATATTCCATTGTATATAGTACCATTTCTTCTTTATCCATTTATCCATTGATGGACACCTAGGTTGCCTCCATATCTTGGCTATTGTAAATAATGCTGCAATGAACACTTGGATGCACATGTCTCTTCAAAGTAGTGTTTTAGGTTTCTTCAATTAAATACCCAGAAGTGAGATTACTGTTTTCTTCTTTATCTGTTATAGCCTTTGTTCTAAAGTCTATTTTGTTTGGTATAAGTATCGTTACCACAGCTTTTTTCTTTTTTCCTTTTAATGAAATATCTTTTTTCATTCCTTTACTTTCAGGCTGTGTGTGTCTTTTGATCTGAAGTAAGTCTCTTATAGGCAACACATGTATGGGTCTTGTTTTCTTATCCATTCAGCCTTCCTATGGTTTTTAATTGGAGCATTTAATCCATTCACATTCACATTTAAAGTAATTGTTGATATGTGGTTATTGGCTTTTTATTATTCATATTTCTTATCTTTTTTTTCTTTTTTAAAGAAGTCCCTTTACCATTTCTTGTACTACTGGTTTGATGGTGATGAACTCCTTTAGCTTTTTCTTGTCTGAGAAGCTCTTTATCTGTTCTTCAATTCTAAATGCTACCCTTGCTGGGTAGAGTAATCTTGGTTGTAGATTCTTACTTTTCAACACTTTGACTATTTTATGCCAGTCCTGTCTGGCCTGCAAAGTTTCTGTTGAGGAATCAGCTGACTGTCTTCTGGGAGCTTCCTTGTTTTTTCTCTTGCTGCTTTTAAGATTTTCTTTGTCTTTAATCTTTAGCATTTTAATTATGATGTGTCTTGGTATGGACATCTTCAGGTTTATCTTGTTTGGGGGACTCTCTGTGCTTTCTGGGCTTATATGTCTATTTCCTTCATCAGGCTAGAAAAGATTTCTGTCATTACTTCCTTAAACAGGTTTTCAATTCCTTGCTCTCTCCTTTCTCCTTCTGGTACTCTTATGATAAGAATGTTGGTATGCTTAATGTTGTCCCAGAGACCCCTTAAACTATCCTCATTTTTTTTGGAATGTTTTACTTTTAGATATTCCAATTGAGTGTTTTTTGCTACTTTATCTTCTAAATTGCTGATTCACACCTCTGCTTTATCTAATCTACTGTTGATTCCCTTTAAAGTATTCTTTGGTTTAGTTATTTCATCCTTTATTTCTGACTGTTGTTTTTTTCTATGTTTTCTATCTCCATTTTTGTGTTTCTTATCTCTTTGTTGAAGTTCTCACTGAAGTTATTGAGCGTTCTTATAACTATTGTTTTGAACTCTGCATCTGATAGATTCTTTGTCTCCATTTTGTCTCCATTATGTTTTTCTGGAGCTTGGTTCTGTTCTTTCATTTGGAACATGTTTCTCTGTGTTCCCATTTTGGCTGCCTCCCTGTTTGTTTCTGTGTATTAGGTAGAGGTGCTATGTCTCCTACGCTTAGTAGACTGGCTTTATGCAATAGGTGTCCTGTGGGGCCCAGTGGTATAGTCTCCCTTGTCATCTAAGCCAGGTGCTCTAGGTGTATTTATTGTGTGAGTTTTTTGTGCCTTCCTGTTGTAGTTGACCTTTGGTTGCTGTTTGCACGTCAGTGGGAGAGATTGATCCTCAAACTGATTGGTCGTGAGGACTGGCTGTGACTGTAGTGGAGGAGCTGTGGTGCAGGGTCTGACCCTACATTCGCTTAAGCAAACTAGTGCCTACCAAGTTTGCCTTTTTTTTGGGGGAGGGGCGTGCTCTGTTGCAAGCCAAGGTCTGCCACTGACTGTACCCTAACTGGGCCCACTTTATATGAGGTACAACGTGATTTGCAGATGGTTGCCACTTGTGCTGGGCTAGGAGGTGCCTGGGAAAGGCTAAGCTGTGAACTGAGGCCAGCTGCTGCTAGTGCTGGGATTGGGGATGCTTAGCAAAAGGTACAGGGCATGGTGAGGCCAGATGCTGCTTGTTTGAGGATTGTGAGAGATTTTAGGAAAGTCCTCAGCCTGAGCCAAGACAGGCCATTTAAACGGAAGAGATACTGGAGGAGGTTTGGCTGGGCCCAAAAGTTGGCTGAGGAAGGGTATCAGGGAGACCCTGGTGTTAGCCAGGTTGATGGTGACTCAGATATTGTGCCTGCCTCCATCTCCACGCTGGGTTGGGGAAGGGCTCAACAAAGGAACAGTGGCTTCTGCCAGCATTGCTATCTGGAAGAAAGCTGTCCCTCCAGTCCTCTCCCTGAAGCCAGACAATTCAGTTCCTCCCTATATGTCCCTGATGCCTTTCAAGCTGCCACCCCAGTGCTGGAGCTCAGAGTGAGTGAGTCCATCAGCAGGTAAGTTTGTAAACGGGCACTTTAAGAGTAGTGCCTGGGAGTCTAGCAGCCCTCCCTTTCACTTAGTCACAATCTACCCTGGTTTTCACAGCCAGAAATTATGGGGACTTCTCTTCCCAGTACTGGAGCCCTGGGCTAGGAAGCCTGATGTTGTTCTGGGACTTTTCACTCCTCAGGGGGGACCCTTACAGCTGAGATATCTCTCCCATTTTTTAACTGCCACATGCGGGTGTGGGATTAGCTCATTCTGCATATCCATCCCTGCTGCCAGTGTTGTGGCTTTTGTATATTCTTAGTTATAGGACTTCTTTTCATCTAGACTTCAGACAGTTCTCAGTGATGATTGTTCTGTAGTTTAGTTGTAATTTTGATGTGGTCATGAGAAAGGAACGTACAGAGATTACCTACTGTGCCATCTTAACTGAAATTGAGCACTAACTTTTTAATGGTCCAGTATCTCACTGTCATATTGCTTTACTAAAAAGTCATGCCAATTTATATAGTCCTGTTGGTGGCATGTGATGAAATCTCATTTCGACTTCCTCAACATTAAAATTTATTTTCATCTTCATTAATTTGATAGGTGGAAAATGTTTTCCTATTAATGTATACATTTGCATTCCCTTGATTACAAGTAAGGTTTATTACACATGTCTATTATTAATTTATATTTCTCTTATTAGAATTTATTTATATTTTTTCCCAGTCTCCTCAGGTTTGACATGGGTTTCTCCATGAGTAGGCAGCTTGCTCTGCTAGGGTCCTTTAGGTTAACATGGATAAATGAATAGTGGTTCTTAAGTCAACAAGTGGGCTAAATCGCAGGGCTATCATAGAATCTCTTTAGGATTTTTTAATACCCATTAAAACCCCTGCCCCTCCCATAGGTGGCAGGATTGTGCTGGATAATTTCAATTTCATTACCAGCAGTAACTAAGTGAGATAAGTCAAGTTCTAATACTTACTTTTATATTACAGCTAAAGAAAATGAGGCTGAG